CTTGTTGCTCTTGTTAATTGATATTCATATTTGGTATCTCAAAGCCTAACAACTTTTCTCCTGAATCTAATCATTTTATAGGATTCAGCATTCTTGAATGTATAATAAAGAGACAGTCACATCTTTGCCAGCAAAAGAAAGAATACATGCAGCTACACAGGTCACTTTCTAAGTATTTGCTTTAGCCTCCTTTTTACTGTGAATACAGAAAACATCTGCATTCAATGGTTCCGATTTGCAATAAGGCAGCGTGCATACAGAGAAAGCTGAATGAGAAGATACCCAAAGACTCAAATACTGTCCAAATGAGTGGACTTCTAAAATATAACCCTTTCTCAAATTTTTGTAATATATTCAGTCGAGGCCTTTTTTTTCGGTTAATTCCCCACATGCTTCAGTGATTAGTAGTAACTTTATCTTGTCATTCCCATAGACTATGATAGAAACAAAATAACCCAAAAGCTAGCTTTCTGATTGAGTTTCCATAAATGCAACGTGAAGGACGTGCATGAAGAATGCGGAAGCAGGAAATGACTTGGAGAGCAATGGAGATATTATGCTGTGTTTGTTTAAGTTGCTGTGTGAAAGGCAAATCTTCCCACTCCCCTCATCACCACAGCTGTGATTAAAACTCTGGCTGGCTGAAACCAAATATAAGGTTGTGTTCTCCTCACCCAGCTGTCAATCTTTCCATTAGTTGGTTTACAGGTTGTGAGAAAAGACATGCTCCTGTTTTCAACATGTGGATGAAAGGTCCTGCTTTGGTAAATTCAATTAGATGGAAAATTGAGCTTTCTCTCTTAATTTCAACTCATCATGGAACAGTGACAACTACAGGACCTGGAATTATCTTGTTGAATCCTGTTTTTTCTTATTAGTTGATGTATATTTTATTGTTGCTACCTATAAATTCATGTTTAAGTTTATATACTATACTCAAAGTATACTTAATGTAATAAATATGCATAAATCCAGGTTGATGTAACTTTGACACAGATGACATAATAAAGGTATGAAGAAAAATGATGGCAAATGCCATAGTCTGAAATATCAGGAGAAGTCAAAGTTGAGATTCTCACTAGCTTTCATGCATTCCTCATGTTTTCATTAAACATGTCCATAAATGCCTAGAACTGCATGAACTCATCATCTGAATCGAAGGTCAATTATAAAACATCTCATTTTCAAGTTTGCCTATCAATGCACACCTTTAAATAGCACATATACCGTTTTGGCACTGGGTTTTCTCCAGGCTTTTTTATAAAATAAGTGAAGAAGTATTATGCCTCAAAATTTCTTAGAGAATAAGTCTTATGGCCAGGCACAATGACTCATGCCTGTAATCCCAGCACTTTAAGAGGCCAAGGAAGAGGATTACTTGAAGCCAGGAATTTGAGACCAGCCTGGGCAACACAGTGAGACTCAGTCCCTACAAAAGAAATAATAAATTAATCAATTAATTAATTAATTTTAAAACAGAATAAGTCTCATAAGTTCCACACTGCTGGTGGGGGTGCAAACTAGTTCAACCATTGTGGAAGACAGTGTGGCGACTCCTCAAGGATCTAGAACTAGAAATACCATTTGACCCAGTCATCCCATTACTGGGTATATACCCAAAGGATTATAAATCATGCTGCTATAAAGACACATGCGCAAATATGTTTACTGCGGCAATATTCACAATAGCAAAGACTTGGAACCAACCCAAATGTCCATCAATGACAGACTGGATTAAGAAAATGTAACACATATACACCATGGAATACTATGCAGCCATAAAAAAGGATGAGTTCATGTCCTTTGTAGGGACATGGATGAAGCTAGAAACCATCATTCCAAGCAAACTACTGCAAGGACAGAAAACCAAACACCACATGTTCTCACTCATAGGTGGGAAGTGAACAATGAGAACACTTGGACACAGGAAGGGGAACATCACACACTGGGACCTGTTGTGGGGTGTGGGGAGGGGGGAGGGATAGCATTAGGAGATATACCTAATGTAAATGATGAGTTAACGAGTGCAGCACACCAACATGGCACATGTATACATATGTAACAAACCTGCACGTTGTGTACATGTACCCTAGAACTTAAAGTATAATAAAAAATAAAATAAAAAGAAAGGAAAAACAAGAAATAATAAATAAATTTTAAAACAGAATAACTCTCATGACCAAAAGATAATAATAACAATAATATATTTTGAGAGATTCTGAAAATTAACTTTCCTTGTAACCACTTAGTCTAAAGAAAGATTTAATAGTCTTTCTTGCCTTGTTTTTTCCTCCAGCTGAAACACCTTATATGATAAAGCTAGCAAAAACAAATAGGAATAAAATTACTATCAGTTTTACCTAAGGAAACTTAAAAGTGGCCAATTTTTCTCACACTTTTACAAAATTCTTAATTCTGGTGCAAAGTTGCAAGTAAATGTGTCCTCCTCAAAGAAGAATTTTTCTGAAAACTACAGATCTCTTCAAGAGATCTGAAGATTAAACTATGACTTATACACTTCCAAGCTATTTACTTCATATCAATATTGCTTCTATATTCAAACTCGCAGAAGAGCACAAAGAAAAAAATCTAGTTGAAATTTATAAAATACAAAGGCTCCTCTATGGCATCCCAATACTAGATGCAGTTTCAATGAAACATCTCCACTGCAAATAGAGGAGGCGCATAAAGGAAAGCAACAGGGAAGAGACAAGTTAGAAGAGAGCACAAGTAAAAGAAACACACAAAATCAAATAGGAATAAATGTAATTGGGAAAAGGCTCTTCATAGGCTGAAAAACTACCCTGACCCACGAATCTGCACCAGCACCCACAAATTGTACTTGGTAATTTTTTCTATTTTATTAAAAAGAATTTATATTCACTATAATGTTGTCTAAAAGCCTTGTGATTATATGTATTACCCTTATGAAAGAAGCACTAAGATCAGTTGACCTAGGTTCCTCTACGTAAATTTTTCTTTGATTTAGAGAAAAAATAAAAAGGAAAAGCAAGGCGGAGAGGAGGAAAAAAGGATGAGAATATGCTGAAATATACCTTAAAATAACTATTACAGAAAATCAGTAATCTTTTCAAGTGAAAGAAAGGGAAAAGATTTGTTAAGAAATGTCATAATTTTAATTATAAGATACATCCTTTAAAATTATTTCAAATATGTGAATGTGTGTGTGTTCCTTCAGCCAATCAATTACAGAAAACGGATGACACATGGGTGATAGAAGTGCAGGCATATCTCATTTTACCGTGCTTCACTTTACTGAGCTTCATAGATATCGCTTTTACAAACTGAAGATTTGTGGCAACCCTGCATCGAACAAGTCTATCAGCACCATTTTTCCAACAGCATGTGCTCACTTTGTGTCTCTGGGTCACAATTTGGTAATTCTCACAATATTTCCAACTTTTTCATTATTATTGTATCTGGTATGGTGATCTGTGATCAGTGATCTATGGTGTTACTATTGTCATTGTTTTGAGGCATCACGAACCATGCCCATAGGCAAACTTAATAAATGTACACATTCTGACTGCTCCACCAACCAGCAGTTCCTCCGTTTCTCTCCTTGGGCCTCCCTATTCCCAGACACAACATATTGAAATTGGGCCAATGAATAACCCTACAATGGCCTCTAAATATTGCAATGAAAGGAAGAGTCTCACATCTCTCATTTTCAATCAAAAGCAAGAAATCATTAAGCTTAGTGAGGAAAATACATCGAAAGCTAAGACAGGCCAAAAGCTAGGCCTCTTGTGCCAAACAGCCAAGTTACCAATGTAAAGTAAAAGTTTTTGAAGGAAATTAAAAGTGCTACTTCTGTGAACGCATGAATGATAAGAAAGCAAAACAGCCTTATTGCTGATTCAGAGAAAGCTTTAGAGCCCTGGATAGAAGACCAAACCAGTTACAGCATTCCCTTAAGCCAAAATCTAATCCATAGCAAGAACCCAATTTTCTTCAATTCTATGAAGGTTAAGAGAGGTGAAGAAGCTGTGAAAGAAAGATTGGAAGCTAGCAGAGGTTGGTTCACGAGGTTTAAGGAAAGCACAAGGTGAAGCAGCAAGTGCTGATGTAGAAGCTGCAGCAAGTTATCCAGAAGATCTAGCTAAGATCACTGACAAAGATGGCTACACCAAACAACATATTTTCAGTGTAGATGAAACAGTCTTCTATTGGAAGAAGATGACACCTAGGTCTTTCACAGCTAGAGAAGAGACGTCAATGTCTGACTTTAAAGCTTCAAAGGACAGATTGACTCTTGTTAGGGGCTAATGCGGCTGGTGACTTTATGTTGGAGCCAATGCTCATTTGCTATTCCAAAACCCTAGGGCCCTTAAGAATTATGCTAAATCTTTTGTGCCTGTGCTCTATAAATGGAACAACAACACTTAGATGACAGTACATCTGTTTACTGCATGTTTTACTGAATATTTTAAGCCTTTCAATTAGACCTATTGCTCAGGAAAAAAAAAAAAAAAAAAGATTCCTCTCAAAATAGTACTGCTCATTAACAATGCACCTGATCATCCAAGAGCTCTGATGGAGATGACAAAAAGATTCACATTGTTTTCTTGACTGCTAATACAACATCCATTCTGCAGCCCAGAGATCAAGGAGCAATTTTGACTTTCAAGTCTTATTAATTTTTTTTTCTGTAAACAGAGTCTTGCTCTCTTGCCCAGGCTGGAGTACACTGGCACAATCTTGGCTCACTGCAACCTCTGCCTCCCAGGTTCAAGAGATTAGAGTACCTCAAAGCCTCCTGAGTAGCTGGGACTCCAGGTGTGTGCCACCATGCCCAGCAAATTTTTGTATTGTTTGTAGAGACAGGGTTTCACCATGTTGGTCAGGCTGGTCCTGAACTCCTGAGCTCAGGCAATCTGCCTGCCTCGGCCTCCTAAAGTGCTAGGATTACACGTGTGAGCCACCCACACCCTACCTCAAGTCTTATTAATTAAAAAATACATTTTGTAAAGCCATACCTGTCGTAGATAGCAATTCCTCTGATAGATGTGGGCAAAGTCAATTGAAAGCCTTCTGGAAAGGATTTCCCATTCTAGATGCTATTAAGAACATCCATGTTTCATAAAAGGAGATCAAAATATCAACATGAGCAGGAGCTTGGAAGAAGTTGATTCCAAGCCTCGTGCATGACTTTGAGGGGTTCAAGACGTCAGTGGAAGAAATAACTGCATGTATGACAGAAATAGCAAAAGAATTATAATTAGAAGTAGAGTCTAAAAGATGTGACTGAATTGCTGCAATCTTATGATAAAACTTTAAAAAATGAGGAGTTGCTTCTCATGAATGAGCAAAGAAAGTGAGTTTTTTTAAATAAGGTTTTTTGTTGTTGTTTGGTTTCTGTTTTTTGGTTTTTTTAGACAGGGTCCTGCTCTGTCACCCAGGCTGGAATGCAGTGGCGCAATCTGGGCTCACTGCAACCTCCGTGTCCTGGGTTCAAGTGATTCTCCTGCTTCAGCCTCCTGAGTAGCTGGGATTACAGGTGTCCACCACCACGACCAGCTAATTTTTACATTTTTAGTAGAAACTGGGTTTCACCATGTTGTCCAGGCTGGTCTCAAACTCCCGACCTCAAGTGATCCACCTAACTCTGCCTCCCAAAGTGCTGAGATAACAGGCATGAGCCACCACACCCTGCCAAAAGTAGTTTTCTGAAATAGAATCTACTTCTGGTGAAGATGCTATTATATATACATTGCATCATTGTTGTGAGCAACCACGGATTTGAAATATTTCATAAACTTAGTTGATAAAGCAGCAGCAAGGTTTGGGAGAACTGATTCCAATTTTGAAAGAAGTTCTCTTGTGGGTAAAATGCTCTCAAACAGCGTCATATGCTACAGAGAAATTTTTCTTGAAAGAGAGAGTCAGTCAATGGGGTAAACTTCATTGTTGTCTTATTTTTTTAAAATTGCCACAGCAACCCCAACCTTCAGCAACCACAACCCTGATCAGTCAGCAGCCATCAACATTGAGGCAAGACCCTCTACCAGCAAAAAGACTACAACTCACTGAAGGCTCAGATGATCGTTAGCATTTTTTAGGAATAATGTATTTTTAAATTAAAGTATGTACACTGCTTTTTTTAGACATGTTATTCTGCTGCACATATATAAATAGGCTGTAGTACAGTGTAAACAAAACTTTTATATGCACTGGGAAACCAAAAAATGTGTGAGACTCACTTTATTACAATATTCACTTTATTTAATATTACACTGGTCTGGAGCTGAACTTACAATATCTCTGAGGTATACCTGTGACTACATTTGATCTACTTGCAACATGACAGTGAACTGATCTTTCTCCAAACACATAGAAATGCTAGAAAACATATAAACCCCAAAAAAGGTATATAGCTTAGAAATACTCAGAGTTCAAAAACAAAGAGGTAACCCAAAGCCAAAGTTACAAGAGTATATGCAGACAGTATAACAACTTAAGAACATATAAAGTAGAAACTGAACCTAGGGGTCAGTAGCTAAGGTTTTAAGGTCCATCTATCAGGACAGGATATGTGGTTTGGGGCCCATCTAAGTAGTGAAGTTAGAATGAAATAACTGAGGTACCTGAATAAAAAGTTCAGATATTCAAAAGATGGCTTATTCCATTTAAAAGGGATATTAAAAGCAAAAACAAAATATTTACTCACTAGCCCAGGAGAGCAGTTTTTGTTTTGTTTTGTTTTCTTTTTTTTTCCAGTTCTCTGCCAAAAGCTCTGGTTAGGAAAAAGTTTTCTATAACCAATCAAAACCTAAGATAGGTTTGGGGCCCACGGTATGATGATAATCCCATGCCAGATAAGAAATAGCTGCTAGTAATTAATATTATATAATGTTATAGTGTAATTGCTAAGAAATATTATTAAATGAACAAAACTAGGAGCTGGACAGTGTCAATAGTAATCCTGCATTTATCTAGGAAAACAATATAAATTTAATTCCATTTTAAAAGCAGACACAAAAGAAAGATAAATCAAAGCTAATTACATCGTTTACCTATGGGAAAGCAGAGAAAAGGGCAAAGCGAGAAGGATAGAAACTAGACTTCGCCAAATTTATCTTATTTTCTAGTTTTGACTCTGAAACTATATAAATTTTTAACATAATTATAAAGCAAAGCTGAATCAAGAATGTTAAAAACTATTCCCAAAATTTGAAAGTAAAATGAAATAAACTAACTTACATATCAAGTTGCTAGCTTAAACACAAAGAACAATTATTTCAAGTGACATTAAACAGAGTAATTAGATTATAAATTCTAAGTGAGATATACAGCAAGAACCAAAAGAACTGTAAAAAAAATTGTAAACTTTTTCCCAGTAACCATATTGTTAGCAATAGCATTGGTATTGTTATACTGATATTAAAATAGAGATTAATTTCATTAATGTTATTATACTAGGAACCAACAGTTTTAGCATAAGAGGGAAAAAAACACAAACATAAAACCAAAAATGTTAAGTAAAACTCCTATAACCCCAAATTTGAAATAGAAAAGTTTTTTAGAACAACCTGTTTGCAAGGTTGACCTTGTGAACTTGGATTTCGAAGTGTTGCCACCAGTCCCAGAACTACTAAGAGAGGTCACTGTGCCTAAACGGTTTGTACAATGCGGTTTAAGTTAAACACCTCCTCTCTTTTTGAGAGTCTGGAATTTTGTATATGCCATGCAGAGAATGCCTAGATAAGCAGCCTCTAATAAACACCCTGGGCACAAAGTCTAGTGAGCTTCCCTGGTAGACATTTCACATGTGTTGTCACAACTTGTTCCTGAGGGAATTAGGTTCATCCTATGTGACTCCATGAGCAGAGGACTTTTCAAGGCTTGTGGCTGGTTTCCTCCAGACTTTGCTCCATTTGCCTTTTCCCTTTACTGGTATTGCTTTGTATCCTTTGCTATAATAAATCACAGCCATGAGTATGACTATATGCTGAGTCCTGTGAGTCCTCCTAGTGAGTCACTGAATCTAGGGGTTGTCTAGGAATTCCTAAGACAGTGGGAAACTTTACAGACTAATAAGCTGGTTTCCTCAACAAATAAATCACACAAGACAAAAAGGAGGAAAAAATCTTATAAAGAAATTTAATAATAAATTTTTAATTTTAATTTTTTGTTTCAGTTCCTCTAAATATGGCAAATACTGATTGGAACAAAAAATTAAAATTTGTTATTCAGAAGCCATAAAACTCAAAAAAAGTTAAATTGCAGATCCTTTTTGTGTAAGTCCATGTCATTTATACTCTTGAAGTCATTTAAGCTTAAAACTGTACTAAGAGTTTTGGAATATTCGGTATAAACAAACTAAATTTGACTAAAGGAGAATACAGAAAACCTGAACATATTCATGATATCAAAGAGATTAATTCAGCAGTCAAAAATATGTCCACAAGAAAATATCAGTCAAAAGTTGTTTATAGACAAGTATCACCAAATCTTAAAGAAACAGGTAACCCCTATTTTAAGCAAGATATTCTAAGAATAAAAAATAGGAAAAGCTATCCAGCTTATCTTATAGGACTAGGGTATTAGTCCATTTTCATGCTGCTGATAAAGGCATACTCAAGACCGAGAAGAAAAAGAGGATTAATTGAACTTACAGTTCCAAATGGCTGGGGAGGCCTCAGAATCATGGTGGGAGGCAAAAGGCACTTCTTATATGGCAGCAGCAAGAGAAAATGAGGAAGAAGCAAAAGCGGAAACCCATGATAAATCCATCAGATCTCATGAAACTTAGTCACTGTCATGAGAATAGTACAGGAAAGACCAGCCCCCATGATTCAATTACCTCCCCCTGGGTCCCTCCCACAACACATGGGAATTCTAGGAGATACAATTCAAGTTGATATTTCGGTAGGGACACAGCCAAACTATATCATTCTGCCCCTGGCTCCTCCAAATCTCATGTTCTTATATCTCAAAACCAATCATGCCTTCCCAACAGTCCCCCAAAGTCTTAACTCATTTCAGCATTAACCTAAAAGTCCACAGTCCAAAGACACATCTGAGACAAGGCAAGTCCCTTCTGCCTATGAGCCTGTAAAATCAAGAGCAATCTAGTTACTTCCTAAATACAATGGGAGTACAGGTATTGGGTAAATACAGCTGTTACAAATGAAAGAAATTGGCCAAAACCAAGCAGTTACAGGGTCCATGCAAGTCTGAAATCCAGCAGGGCAGTCAAATTAAATGATCTCCTTTGATTCCAGGTCTCACATTCAGGTCATGCTAATGCAAGAGATGTGTTCCCATGGTCTTGGGCAGCTCCACCCCTGTGGCTTTGCAGGGTACAGCCTCCCTCCCAGCTGCTTTCACAGGCTAACGTTGCATGTCTGCAGCTTTTCCAGACGCATGGTGCAAGGTGTCACTGGTCTACCATTCTGGGGTCTGGAAGACGGTGCCCCTCTTCTCACAGCTCCACTAGGAAATGCCCCAGTATGAACTCTCTGTGGAGACTCCAACCCCACATTTCCCTTCCGCACTGCCCTAGCAGAGGTTCTCCATGAGGGTCCCGCCCCTGCAGCAAACTTTTGTCTGTACATCCTGGCGTTTCCATATATCTTCTGAAATCTAGGCAGAAGTTTCCAAATCTCAATTCTTCTGTGCCCTTGCGGGCTCATTACCACTGGGAAGCTGCCAAGGTTGGGGCTTCCATCCTCTGAAGCCACAACCCAAGCTTTACGTCAGCCTCTTTCAGCCATGACTGGAGTGGCTGGGACACAAGGCACCAAGTCCCTAGGCTGCACATAGCATAGGGACCCTGGGCCTGGCCCCAAAACCACATTTTTCTTCCAGGCCTCCCGGTTTGTGATGGGAGGGCCTGCTGTGAAGGTCTCTGACATGGCCTGGAGATATGGTCTAGAGACATTTTCCCCACAGTCTTGGGGATTAACATTAGGCTCCTTGCTATGTATGCATATTTCTGCTATGTATGCTTGAATTTCTCCTCAGAAAAATGGGTTTTTCTTTTCTACTGCATCATCAGGCTACAAATTTTCTGAACTTTTATGCTCTATTTCCCTTTCAACAGCACCCAAGTCACCTTTTAAATGCTTTGCTGCTTATAAATTTCTTCTTTCAGACACCACAAATCATCTCTCTCAAGTTCAGAGTTCCACATATCTCTAGGGCAAGGGCGAAATGCTGCCAGTCTCTTTGCTAAAACATA